CATTTTCGCTGCGCTCACCTTCCCCTCATTGGTCCTACCATAACCTTGAACCTTCTAAGCTGGAAGGCTGTTGGTTTGCGCACTGGAGCTGTGTTAGAGCTAGGTCTTAGGTCGTTGAATGTCTCAGTAGCCTGTCAGCTTTATGCCCTGTTTATCGCACTTTAGGCCACACTGAAAAAAGTCTGTGGTTCGACTCACCCGACCGACCGTACATTTTTCAGCCAGACTGTAACTTTTTTTTCGGCGGGCTGTCGTGTGACTGACGTACGTGGACTGAACACGTCCACGTCTACGTGCTGTGCAGCGTGAGTCTGCGGACGCAGGCGGCTCCTTTTGGACTTGACTTGTAGTTGTACTGCAGTGCAGTGCAGTGAGTGGTACGACTGCTGCCTTGTGCTGGTAGTAGAGTCTACTCGATACGACCACCGCCATTACAAGTCACAGTCTGTTTTCCCACGATTTGCCACCATACTCTTTACTCAACACATCTGCCATAGCACTGTTCATTGGGTCCGGAGGGCTGAGTCACACATACTTCTAAGTCACATTTCTGCCACACAATGTTTCAAAGTATTAGCCAGTGATCCCTTTATACAACATGTATGGCATAACACTGCGTAATAATGTGCCGATGTACTGGGTGTCTAAAGGCAGTACAGTGTATTTACATGTACTAAAAAAATATATTAAAAAAAAAAATCCGCCCGCCCGCCCGTAAAAAAATGTCCATGTTAGTCGAACCACACACCTTTTTTAGTTTGGCCTTATGACTGATTATTATCTTGTTACAGTCGTGGATAGTTGCTTCATAACTCGTTTCCATGTGATTTCTTCTACAGGTGGAATTCTGATAATTCGAATATGACTTAGTTCGAACATACAGCTTAATTAGAAGTTTTTCCAGGACCGATTTCTATCAATACGATTCCCACATCAAATTTTCTGATAATTTGAACCTCGAACTGGACATGCCCGGTTAATTAGAAGTCCCACAGATTCCACTTACATAGAAAATGTGTAGGATTCGTGCTGATAATTCAAAGTTAGCAGTGTAATTCAAAGTTCACCGTACACTGTACTGGTCAGTTCAGTTTGCATGAGCAGGCTGCGCTGGTCAGTTCAGTATCCGTGAAATCTGTGTCTAAGGTCCGTAGCGCAACTCTGCGTGACCATGAGAGCATTTTGACATACATAATTGTGTTGTGGGTCCATGTTTGGATAATTAGAATGTCCGGATAATTAGAAGTTTTATCCTGGCATTTTGAGGTTCGAATTATCAGGATTCCACCTGCACCGTATTCTCGCGCATATAAGACCATGGTCTTATACTGTAATCGAAAAGTCGCTGCTTTCGGTCCTTTCACAAGTGCATTCGATTATAAACCATGGTCTTATGCGAGAGACAAACATCGCATTGACATATGCATGTACATGCGCAAGTACGCATATTACTGTAAAAGCCATAATAATAACGAAGTGCTAACTCTAACGAGTTAACGAGGAGAAATCTGTCGTTAAAATAGAAATCGTTATACAGAAATCGATACATATACTGTCCTATTGAGCGTTGAGAATAAGTGAGAATCGTTACCTTTGGTACACGTAAACCAGTCGATTTTGGGAAATCGTTATAATATATGCGCCTCGTTAAAATAATGGCTTTTACAGTATTGGTGAACGCCAGTACAGTGGAACCATGATGAACCTCCTGTGGTTTTTGCGATTTTTATTCACTTATGTGTGCATGTTCTAATAATAATAATAAAGCGAGAGTGCTCTTATAATTATTCGAAAACAAGAACATATCCTTAAATGCGCGAGATTACGGTACATGTACGGTATTTTAATTACTCACAGAGTATGACTTTATTTAGTTTATACCGGTAATCAGTATAACTATGTATCACCAGAGCTCCACGGAACTACGAGTACTAGTAATTACTTGAAAATCCAATGCTTACCTGGCCCGCTGCGCTGGCCCAGAAATTCCCTATCGCCACTGATACGGCAGCCTCGCTCAAACGCTTCGTACGCAGTTGATACGTCGTCGAACAATTTGGTTCGCAGCTCGCCATCCTTGCCGACTAGCTTCGAAACGCGCGATCCATCCTCTAGTACCACTGACTGGTCATCAGCAGCCGTGGTTGTACCTGGGCAAACTATCACCTCCATGCTTGCTCTGCTTACTCTCTTCTCCCTTCACCAGTCGATCTAAAACAAGTAAATTATAGTTTGAACAATGCAACACTCGTACTCTCCTGACTCGAGTGAAAGGTCAGGAAGTACTACGAGCACCTGTTCGCCACTCAATCACTGATCACTGCACTGCGGAGATGAGCGACGTGGATTTATGATCCGACTCCCTACTTTGCAGATGTAGCGATGCAGGATACAGCACAGAACTAGAACCAGTAGGCAGTAACTCACTTGGAAGCTTCCCTCTTTTGTACTTGTAGGATCCCTCCAGCCTGCATATTCGGACACGAAGTGTGGGTCACGCCAAGCATATGGACGGCGTCTGCACTGTGGATCTTGACCTGACCCCTGGATGGACTGGAGACTACATGTACTGTAGGTCTAGGCAAGAGTACATAACCATGATAACCCCCGCTATGCCATGGCCTAGACCAAGACTCAAGAGTAGACCTACGCGTAGGTCTACTCTTGAGTCTTGGTCTAGGCCATGGCATAGCCATATAGCGGGCGAGGCCAGGGCATGGGTCTAACTTAGTAACTACAACAAGACTGCGTGGTCGTGGTACTGCTGCAGTCCAGAAAAATAAGATGGCAGAATCTACATTCCACTCTACACTGTAGCCCAGGGAGTCGTGTAGCCCAATCATCACTGATCATGCTGTCAGCAGTGACAGACGGGCACTGACAGCAGTGATCTGGTGATCAGGATCTAGGTCTAGGTGGGCATGTCTGTGACAGACTTCAATACGAAGCAGACTTCGCCAATGCCGCTTGCTCCAGTTGTGAGTGGAAGTACATCATGTAAGGCCCTTCATGTGCTGTGGAGGCCTTCTGCCAGTTCTGGTAATTTCATTTTCAATATCTTCCTGCTGTAGTTATACTGTGGGCAATACGTATGCCTAACTTAGGCTTTGGGAAGAAGGACTTCATTACCGGCAAGAGTGCAATTCTGTCAGTCTACACAGTCCACAGACTGCAGACCCGTACGGTACCCGCAGTGTTTCTGGCAGTGTGGCAGACAAGCTGCTGCTTGCACTGCACTGAGTCACGTGAGTGCAGAACTGTGCCGTGGTGGCTGCATGCCACATCTGCATGATGGCGGCGGGTTGTCACTGACTAGATCCCTATACCCGGTGCGGCGGGTCCGGCCAAAGCCGCACCAATAATTTCATCTTGTGACTTTTGAAGCAATGAATTATAGGCTATTTGGGCCCAATTTCCCTAACATTTTCCCGGAGGAGGACCCCCGGACCCCCACCTACTCCGTAACTCGTGCGGCCTTGAATACCTTCCGATGCCCCTGCATGCCCTGCACTGGACTGCACAGTGCACACTCAGTGGCGCCTATGCCCCCGTACCCAGTGCATACCACATCGACGTGTCATGTCACATAATGTTACATTACACTTCTTGTGGTCATGCAGTTACAAGATGCACGACGTGCTGACTGTAAGTGCCGTATCGCGATAATCACTTATCAGTGCAGGGCAATGCATGGCGCATGGCATGAAGTGAGCGCGTGCGGGCGCGCGTGTGTGCGTGCGCGTGTGCGTGCGCGAGAAAGACACTTGAAAATGCAATTGTTGTCTGTGTGTTGAAGAAAGACAGAAAGAGAACGAATATTACTATTAGATAAACCTTATTTTAGTTCACACCTGTTGTTGGTTGCGTCGGGACATCACCAACCTCGTCTACACAGAGCTAGAGTAGAGAGCACCTTCTCACGAGTCACGACAGTGTCATGGTGGTGACTGTTGTCACTCGTCAGCTGAGAGAGGGGCGCCATGGGCAGGAAGTAACACAACGTTAGTTGGAAGAAAAAAGAATTAAGGAAAACAATTCAGGCTACTATTTTTATGACTATCAAGAAGACATCCAGGAGCGATCACAGAATACACGACTGACATTTGGAGAAGTCTATGAAAAACTCCCCCAGAATAAAGAGGGTCAGAACCGGGTCTAAGACCCATACGGTTCAGATGGTCTCAACCGACCGGGGCTCTACCAAGTACCAACCGTGGATGGTTGTAGTAAGGTCACTGTTTCCGAACACGGTGTCCTCCACCTTGCTTCATGCTGTCAACCAACAACAAAGAGAAAGAGTGTGTGTGTGGGGGGGGGGGGGGAGAAAGAACTACATCTGTAATGGAGGATGTAGAGCCAGAGCCTCTGAGGGAGAGGGAGAGTTGGGATAAGAAGAGTGGGACTCTGGGAGGGAGGTCCAGCCTTCAGTAGTCCAGGGGAGGGAGAATCGAGAGACAAGGGAGAGGTAGAGGAAGAGTTTTATTGAGAGGAGGAAGACACTGGGGAGCGGTAGGGAGAGGACGAGGAAGAGAGAGGGAGGGAGGGAGCCTCGGAGAGTATAGATACTCGAAGTAGATAGATAGATAGATAGATAGATAGATAGATAGATAGGCAGATACTAAAGTACAGTTGTCTAAGGTCCTCAGGCTGCGTATAGTGCTCTATGTCCAGTGGACACAGCCAGTAATAAAGCAAACACATCTTCTTCCGCCGTTACTCGGAGGTTTGTGTGAAAACACTCATCAGACAGCATATGACCAAGACTAGCATTCACTAGAATATGTCAGGAGGGTCTTGAGAAAAGAGGGCAGAGATAATGGAGGTCAACATTTCTATAGCGCGAGCAAAAGGAGGTGACCAAAACCAGCGTGACTATAAGAGAGAAAAAGATGTTACATACCAATTAAATGGGTTAAGAGCATCGTGTAGAGGAATAGTGCGATGCTATACTTGTACCGTAATGTACCGCCAGAGCGCCCCGTCTCGCGAGAGCGCCCCACCTTGATTTTACAGCCAAGGGAAGAAAATCGTATGGCAGAATGCTACTAAGTTTGTACGATGTGAGAACCTTCGTGTACTAGGGTCGCACTTGGTATGCTTTTATGTGGAGCTCGAAGGTAAACTGGGTACGGATTGACTGCACGATGTGCAATGTTTGTACAAGGTTCGTGTCGTATGACCTACAGACAGGAATCCACCTCCACAAGGCGGCCACGAAAGGATGAGATGGTGGGGCGCTCTGGCGGTACTTTATGGTACATGTAGGCCACACGCTAGTGCGCAATTGTTGTTTGTTGTAGTTGTTGTTTTCTTTATTTGAATTCGCTAAAACCAAACGAACAGAACTGTCCAGTGACAAGGGAGCGAATGATGAGCGTCATAATCACTATGCATCAAAACATCTCAGGGCAAAATGAGACAGACTACGAGGAGGGTTTGCACAACACTAGTACACAAAGGGCTTTTATTTTGCATTATCTTGCGACACAGTCGTACAGATTTGTGCTGCATTATGACACATGACATTGTGTCCGACCGTGGTGTAGCAAAAAATGGTGATCGTGGATAGTGGGAATCACTCACGCCAGGCAAGGGGGTGACTACCACACCCGCCAAAGCATCGACAAACCGGCGACAGAACAAGAGAAGCCCAGATCCGCCAAAGCGTGTGAGCCAGCGCTCATGAGCCAGGAGCCCTGGGGAATGCTCACCATTCCCGCGCCCTACGGAACCCAGCCCGATCGCCACTCCCCCGTCGGATCCCGAATCCTGACGGGCAAAACAGCCACCCCCAATCTGGTGTGACCCATGTATTTGCCGTCCATCGCATTACCCTGCTGAGCTGGAACTTACTTGTTGGCATGAGCGAGTATTCCTGTCGGCGATGATGATACGGAATTTCTCTGTCACGCAGAGATTGCACCGTTTGCTGACCTTTAGCCTTAGCTTTAGCTTGCTGAGCAATCCTCCACTTGATGGCATACTGTTTGTTGTTCTCTTTCAGCTGCCATACATGTTTGGACAGCTCCGTGTTGCTCCTCCTCGACTCGATGTTCATGTCCGACCTGTGGTTATAGTGTCGCTTCTTAAATGGTGGCTCAGTAGATCCGATGTACACCTTATGCTCGTTTTCTCTCGCCACGTGCGCTTCATATTAATGACTTCTTGGGCTTGGCATCGGCCGTTCAGCGGTCACTCCGGTTGGGCGCAACAGTTGCATGGCTTTTCAATACGCTTCGGCTCAAGTAGCAGCTTGCTGTGCTCGGTTATTACTGCGGCTTCGTTGCCGTTGGGCATACAACTATACATGTAGCTGACTTTGACATTATTTTTTAATATTTTTTGCAGCTTAGAATTCGCAGGGAAGTGCTTCAGTTCACCGATCGCAAGAACGGCGCCGCCACATTCGTACTCACATTCTTTATTATTATTTTATTAAAAGTAGAAAGAAAAAGGACAGAATGGAAACGAGTTAATTAATTAAAGCATGCATAGTTCAAGCTTCAGCTTCTTCGTCCTAAATAATCTCACCATTTTCGTCATGCTTCTCCTAAATAATCTCACCATTTTCGTCATGCCTCTCCTTGCAGTACTCTCTTTTGTTTCTCTCCTTATTATTTATTTCGCCGTGGTTGGCTACCACCCGACTTCTCATAAATATTGGCAGTCTTACGACGAGCCAGGAGATGTTGAATAATTTTTTTTTAAACAACCGAACAACAATGAGTGTGCGCTCGAAACGACTGCTCCACAATCCACTGACACCGATATCGAGACGTGCCTGGTCCTTTTAATTTTTATTTATGGATTCCCCAAATGCCGAGGCCTAAGTCGAGGGGGTCTCCGTTCATGGCTTTAATACTGTCCTCGGTGATTGCCGTGCGATAGTGAAGCTGCTCTCCAATCAATGATTGCAAACTTGGCTCATTGGCCACATTATTACATGCGATCTTCAAAAGCCAAGCCGTTATGTCTCTGATTTCGTTGTGTCTCATCGATGGAAAACCGCCAACTGGGCACGATAAGAGATGGCTCACAGAGGCGGTCACCCCACATACACATGATGACGGCAGCCGCTGGGGTGTCCAACCATACCATAAGCACAGTCCATCTCTGAATTCACCTTTCGTTAGGTTGAACCCATAGTGGCGTAATGGCTTACAGGTGAGCCAACTGGAAGCTCCTCTCTCCCTTGCCAGGTCAATCGTCCGGACAAAAGTTGGCGAAGAGTCCGCGATGACAGACGACAGTGCATCCGACAAGCCTCTTCGACTGGATGACCTCGATTGGTTCTTCTTCTTCCATACAACATCCAACGCATCTCCGAGCGCGTGGATGCCTCCCTTGATTCGTTGCACAATGGGAGCAGTGATGAACCTGGACGTTTAATACTGACGTATTTTATTTGGAAAGGAAAAGGACATAATATTATGAATACGAGTTAATTAAGAGTAACTCTCCATCACTGTAACTAGATACTATATACAGTCAGAAATTTCC